ACTGTGTGAATGGAGACCATGCACAGCAAGGCAGAAGAATCCGGGGTGTCTGAGGACTGATGCAGGACTTGTGCAGGGTCGTCACCAGCACTGTCAGCCCACACAGGCCCAAACACAGGGTCCCCCTTCTGTGAGAGACTCAGCACCAATTTCCCTGCTACACCTTCCCAAATTTGGGAAATGCTTCTTCCCACAGCCCAGAAAGGGTTTCCCTCCCCTCAGCCTGTGATGAAAACAAACGGGCTAAATGTTCCCGCCGCCTGCAGGCAAGTTTCACTCGCCTCGTCCTCGGTTCTTAGCCTTTTGATGGTCAAATTCCTTATTCCTCCTCCCTCAAAACCAAACCCCGGCCACCGAAGTCCTTGGTTTTCAAGACATCATCCCTGCTGTGGGGTTCCTGAGACTATTTTAGGATCAAGACAGAGAATTTGACTTTGTTTTCTGTCTCTGAATTTGGCCTCTAATGGTAGAAAGAAGGGCCATGGGATAGAAAGAAATGCCAAGATTAATAAAAATGATCAGTAGATATTTCAAAATATTTTCCTACCACAGTAAGATTAAACAGATCTACTAAGTCTCAGAAAGTGCTCAGGGGTGAAGCAAAAGAAAAGAGAAAACCAGCAGACTCCAGAATGTGTCCTTCCACGTCACTGCCCAGGATGGTGGCAAAGGTCATTTGGGCACATGAATGGGGCATGTGGGATTTCTGATCCCCTCTCTGTTTTTTGGAATAAATGACTCTTTCCTGTCCAAACCTGAATTTAGGCTGTGTGGTACCATGAGGTCCTCATCACCAGTGCATTGCTTTGAACTCATGGTTATTTTTTTAAAAAGTTAAAGGAAGCCTACATTTGGCGAAATGTAGTATAAAAAAACTTTTTTCAAAAAAAAAAAGAAAAGAAAAGAAGATGACAAAATAAAATTTAAAAAGAAACAAGAAATAATAGGGCTGGCCGGTGATCTCAGTTGGTTAGAGCACAGTGTTACAACATCAGGGTCAAGGGTTTGGATCCCCATACCGGACAGCCAAAAAAAAAAAAAAAAAAAGAAAAAGAAAAAGAAAGCAATAACAAAAAAGAAAAAACAAAGTACAAACTTTTTTTCAAGGAAAAGTAAAAATTTCAATGATGTGGCATATAAAGATAATAGATAAATAGGTAATAGTTAAATAGAGTCAAAGATATAAAAAAGGGTGCCAAGAAGTTTTATGTCTATTTTTAGAGATTTCATACAAATTCGTCTTCAGCTTTCTGGCTTCCAATGCAAAGAGACATGCATGATGAATGATAAATTAACAGCATCCATAAGGCAAAAATAAACCAGTTCTTAAGCAGAAGTAGAAGGCCAAGAGACAGTGACCAGGGAATGACAGTCACAAGGTGGCCATCATGTACTGGAATGAACGACATCTCCAACTGCTTTAATGCAGTCCAAGTTTACTTTTATGATTAAAAAAATATCTTCAGAACAGGAGGTCCCCCTGTAGCTGGCAAGGCCAGAGGTCCATCTTATGAGGGTTGTCCAGACTCCACCTGAAAAAGTCTAAGTCCAGAAGCACTAATGTTAGACTCATCGGAATTGCTAGGAAGTTTTTTTTATTGTGTACAGAGCTGACACCTGCAGATCTGAGAGCTGGTCTATAAACACAGGCACAAGTCACATAAAGACAACAGTATTCCACGGCTGGAAATTGATATTCATGTCTTGGCAGAGACAATGTCCTCTTGTTCTGCCTGTAAACTGAGATTTCCCTGTGCTGTGGCCTGATGTCCCCCCAAAACTTAGTCCCCACTGTGACAGTGTAAAGAGAATAGGAAATCCTACTGTAGTAATTGAAAGGTGGGGCCTTGGGCAGGTGATTGGATTGTAAGGGCCGTGCCACAGTTCATGGGTGTGGTTCTGAGGGCTTTAAAAGGAGAGCACATAACAGTCTCTCTCTCTGCTCCACCATTTTCTGCCATGTGAGACCCCTGTCATGCTGTAAAGCCACCACCAAAGAGAACGCTCACCAGATGTGTTCCCTGGACTTTGGACTTTGCAGCCTCTGAAACTGTAAGCAATACATTTCACTTTCTTACAAATTACCCAGTTCCAAGTATTTTGTCATGAGCAACAGAGATGGACTAATATACCCGCTCACTGGGGGGTCTCAGGAGAATTCCAGTCAAAGATAAGGCACTTCCCCAACATTTAGAGCATCGTGGAACAAATAGAAGTTTCCTTTTAGTTATAGTCGCGGAAACTCAGGGTTGAGTGGCAGCTCACAATCAGTCTCTGGACTCCTTGGCTTTCAAATGGGGACGTTAACTACCCGCCCCCCAGCATTTTTTGTTTTTCTTTTGGGGGATCTGAACCCTTGACCTTCGTGTTTTAACACTTTGTTCTAACCAACTGAGCTAGCCGGCCAGCCCCCACTCTTTTTAGAGCCCAAAATGAGATCCTCAACATTCCTCATGGGAAAAGAAACCAGAAACAGTAGAATCATCTCTACATTAACGGCAAAGACAAGGGCCCGCCCATGGCTCACTTGGGAGAGCGTGGTGCTGACAACACCAAGTCAAGGGTTAAGATCCCCTTACCGGTCATCTTTAAAAAAAAAAAAAAAGGCAAAGGCAAATTTGTTACCAGATTATGGAACACAGAACAAAATGCAGTTCTTTCAGACTGAAGTGCATGTTTGCTATTGTGCATGGACAGGTCACTATTAGCACAACTGATCCATATTAGTGTATTATTCACCAATTTTCACTAATATGCAAATAAGTACCTTTATTTCCTTAAGAGTCCTTGAGAATAGAGTCGTCTCCTTGCAAATTGTGCACTCTGCACAGGTGCACTGTTTCAAGGGCATGTGGCCCCCGTCTCTTCAATTCATCACAGATTCTTTCATTGAGAACATGGAAATTAGGACTCTATGTAATTCAACGTTTTGAGCTTGATTAAATTACATTTATATTAAGTTGGATCGGATTCAATAGGATTCATTTAACATGTGTAATGTTTCACTTGACCTGTTCTTCTGGGTGCTTATATATTATGCAGTAAAGATTGAATTCAGCAGGCTTGGAGTGCTCAAACCCTGCGCATTCCAAAGAAAGAACAGGCTCTCCACATGATCCTGGGAGATAATCTATAAACCCTTGGATTCTACTGCCATAAGAGTGTCTTTCTTTGGGCCGGCCCGGTGGTGCACACGGTAGAGTGCGGCGCTTGGGAGTGCGGTGGCGCTCCCGCCGAGGGTTCGGATCCCATGTGGAGACCGGTTTCCGCTCACTGGTTGAGCGCGGTGCGGGCGCGACACTGAGGGTTGCGATCCCGTTGCCGGTCACGGTACGGGCGCGACACCGAGGGTTGCGATCCCATTACCGGTCACGAAAAAAGACAAAATGGGCCGGCCCGGTGGCGCACTGGAGAGTGCGCCGCTTGGGAGCGCAGCAGCGCTCCTGCCAAGGGTTCGGATCCCATGTGGAGACCGGTTTCCGCTCACTGGTTGAGCGTGGTGTGGGAGCAGCACCGAGGGTTGCGATCCCGTTGCCGGTCCCCGGTATGGGCACGACACCGAGGGTTGCGATCCCGTTACCGGTCAGTAAAAATGACAAAAAGGAAAAAAAAAAAAAAAAAAGACAAAAAGGGAAAAAAAAAAAGAGTGTCTTTTTTTTTTTACATTGTTTTTGGTGGCTGACCAGTACAGGGATTGAACCCTGGACCTTGGTGTCATTAGTACCATCCTCTAACCAACTGAGATAACTGGCTAACCAAGAATGTCTTTGTTTACCTGTGGCCTTAAGCCCTGCCAGATCATCTATGCTAAAGATGTGATTTATGGTGGGGGCGTTGGGCCACGTGGTGCCAGTTTGACCTCTGGAAACCATGAGGGACTGGAGGGGCTGGAGACTCGGTAACAATGTCAGCCATATGGAGCTCCATCCCTATGTGAATGACCCCTCCAATAAAAACCCTGAACGCTGAGACTCAGTTGTGCTTCCCTGACTGGCAACACTTAGAGTTGTTTCACATTGTTGCTGGGAGAATTAAGGGCTGTCAGTAATGCTCCACCAGGTTAGAACAGCTAGAAGCTTCCTTCTGCTCTCTGCTGGACTCCTCTCTGCACCTTTTTCCTTTACTAACTTTAATCTGTATCTTTTTGCTGGAATAAACGATAAGCATAACAGCCTTTCTGAGTTCTGTGAGTCCTTTCAGTGAATCACCGAATTTAAGGGTGGTCTTAGGGACCCCCAACACACACATGGATTGATTTATTGTACTGTGGGCCCCCCCAATGTCCATGGGGCCAGGAATAGGTGACACCTTCCTGGAGTCTCAACGGCCCCCACACAGATACTGGAGTTGATGGAGCTGGGATCACCTCTGGGGGAGTGTGGCAGGCTAGAATCCTTGCTGTGTGACTCTGAGTGGGTTCTGTGACCTCTCCAAGCCTCAGTTTCCTCATTCATGAAATGGGCATGATGACATCAACCTCCCAGGGTTGTAGCGGCAACTATTAAAAAGTGTTCAACAGGGCCGAGCCCGTGGCACACTCGGGAGAGTGCGGCGCTGGGAGTGCAGCAGCGCTCCCGCTGAGGGTTCGGATCCTATATAGGGATGGCCGGTGCGATGTGCTCACTGGCTGAGTGCGGTGCAGCCGGTCACAAAAAGGACAAAAAAAAAAAGTGTTCAACATTCAACAGTTGAGAGATGGGGCTGGCTGGTCAGCACAGTTGGTTAGAGCGCAGCCTTATAACCCCAAGGTCATGGGCTCAGATCCCCATACTGGCCAGCTGCCAAAAAAAAAACCAAAAAAAAAAACAACCTCTCAATAGTTGAGACATGGTTGTTACTTTTCCCATGTGTGTTGCTTAATAAGAATATATACATACATATGTATTTGTAATTTAAATCTGTTTAAGGGCAATAATACACATTCATCATACAGAAGCTGGAAAATGCATATTAAACACACACACAGGTGGCACACGCAGTTGACAATCTCCTCGTCTCACCTGATGAAAGGGCAGGAAATGGCCAGCACCGTCTGAATGAACCAGGAGGGGTGGACGATAATCAAGGACTTCAGGTTTTTCTGCAATCTGTGTGGGGAGGCAAAGGAAGCCAGATGGGATCTGGGGCAATCCCTGGGGGAGGGGGTGGAGTTGGGGGGAGCAGGAGAAGGGATGGAGAGCTAAATGCAGGCATTTTTCACTTCCCCCTTCATTCCACAGGAGGTCTCCAGGTGCCTGTCAAATCCCTGTCCTCATCCAGGAGTTGTGGGTCCTGTGGCAGGATAAAGACACACTCTTCAAGTCCCTAAGACCCCAAGTTGGATGGGGTAAGGGAGAGACCCCACTCGGTGGGCTGGAGTAGCTGAGACTGTATTCTCACCACCTAGTGCCAGAGGGGGGACCTGCAGGTACTCTGAGCCTCCCTGCACTATCCTGGGCACAGAATGAGTCAGCGCTTAATTTGAAAACCGTTCTGCAGCTATGTATGCACAGTGGCTAAGAGGTGGAAACAAGCCAAGTATCCACTGAGGGATGAATGTATAAATGAATGTGGTCCATCCACACAATGGACTATGAGTCAGCCTCAAAAAGGAAGGGAATCCTGACATGTGCTACAACGTGGATGAACCCTGAGGACACTGTGCTTAATGAAATAAGCCAGTCACACAGGGACAAACACTGTGTGATCCCACTCACAGGAGGTCCCTAGAGTCATCAGATCTGGACAGAAAGTAGAATGGGGGTGTGAGGGGCTGGGGAGGGGGATGGGGAGTGAGTGTTTAATAGGAGCTTCAGTTTCGTACAATGAGAAAGTTCTGGAGATGATGTTGGTGACGGCTGCACAGCCACGTGAATGTGCTTAATGCCACTGAGCTGTGCACTTAACAGAATGTGATCTTGTTTGGAAACAGAGTCATTGCAGATATAATTAGTTAAAATGATGTCATACTGGAGTTGGGCGGATCCTTAATCCAACATGACTGGTATGCACACCCACACACAGGGAGAATGCCACGTGAATACAAAGGCAGAGATCAGGATGTCGTGCCTAAACCAGTGATCACCAAAGACGGCAGCAACCACCAGAAGCTGGGAGAGAGACGTGGAACAGAGCGCCCCGCACAGCCTCAGAAGGAACCAGCCCTGCCAGAACCTGGATTTTGGACTTCTGGCAGCCAGAACTGAGTGAGAACAAATTTCTGTTGCTTAAGTCATTTAGTTTGTGGTGCTTTGTCACGAAAGCCCTAGCAACTACACCACCTTCCAGAAAGTCGTCACCACTCCAGGTCCCTTGCTCTGGCTGATTTGTCATGCCCCCACTGGTGCTCCTTGCCCCCCAAGGTGGTTCCCAGGCCCACCCCCTCACCTCCTGTCAATCATCTGGTAACACTTCTTCAGCCAGCCTATGCCGAGCATCCTCCACTGGGGGGTGGCACCTTTCAGGTGCACGATCATGTAGTCCTCGGCAACCAGGAGCTCCAGGCTGCTGATGACGTACCTGGTCCCGGAGTGCAGAAGACAGAGACCCAGCAGAAGGGACCCAGTGTCAGGACACCTGCAGCTCCTACCTTCTCTGCGTCCACCTTTGCCTTGGCCAGGCCAGCCACAGCTGTTCAGGTGTCTGCTGTCCTTGCAACACTCCAGGGTGGGGTGGTGAATGTGGATGATCCCAGCCCACCCCAAATCAATGTCGGTGGGCATAAGAATAGCACCAGCTACCATTGTATTGAGCACTTCCTAGGTGCCAGGTGTTTATATACATGATCCCATTTAATGTCTCCAGAGATTAATGCTGAGAGTCGGGCATAGCTCCATCTACAGCTGGGGAACAGGAGACTCGGGGGTGTGGCAGACAGTCCACACAATAGGGATGTAGACAGATCACAGCCTATCCCCCTCAGCACTGTGGACATCAGGGTCGGATCACTCTCTATGGTGGCACGTCCTGGGCACTGCTGAGCAGCGTCCTGGGCCGCCACCTACTCTATGCCAGGAGCTCCCACCAAATTGCCCTGACCCCTTCTTTCTTGCCAAATCCTGCCCCTTTCTGTCCTGTCTGACCCAACCTGGCACCCAAGTTCCGCTGTGTAAGATGGAAACCTTACTATTAGGTCGCTATTATTAACAATAAAAAGAGGAATCGTGATTTACTGAGCTCTTACTATCACGTCAGGTGCTTCATATGTACTGTCTGTATCTGTCATAATAAAACTGTACCTGTGTGCCCTTGGCCAAGTCACTGAACCTCTCCGTGCCTCAGATCCCTCACCTCTAGAATGAGAGGCAAAGTTCCAACCCCACAGGGGTGTGGAAAGGCGGGCTGCGTTCACACATAGGAAGCACTTAGCCTTGTGCCTGTCAGGTAGGAAATGCTCAATAAATGATAGACGAGGAGAAGGAGGACGGGGTGGACCAGAAAGGCCACCACTGTGCTGAAGTGCCAGGCAGCGCCGCTCAGAGCCCTTGCATGCTTCTTGCAGCCTTGTACCCCCACCAGCCTGGCCATCTCAGAGCTGCCAGTGGCCGGCCCCAGGCTGCCCACAACGGGCGGGTGACTTACAGGAAGAGGTTCTCCATGATGTAGTGGTAGTCGGGCGAGCTGCTGTCTGGGAGAAAGCAGGGAGCAAAGACGATGATGGCATTGAGACCTTCGCCATAGGACCCTGGGGAAAGGCGGCCAGTGAGTGGCCTCCAGCCCTGAGCCCTGAGCCACGCCGTGCACTATCTCCCACGTCCACCTCATCTCTGGCCAGCCCCTTCCCACTGCCCATGTGCTCAGGAGGGTACAGCTCTGAGTCACGGCAGCCAGGCCCTGGAGGGTGACAGCCAACATCAGAGGCACCCCTGGTGGGCACTGCCCACGGCCCACCCACCCTCCGTGGATCAGAGGAAGAGACCAAGGTCCAGGGAGGGGCACTGACAGGTCTCCAGTTGCCCAGCAGTCCCAGCTGGAGCCGGGAGGGGGTGCTGAGGGTGCTGGCCTCACCTCCATGAGTGACCCCCTTCATGTAGGGCTGGGTCATGCGCAGGTCGATGCAATGCTCCTGTTCCCCGATGATCACTGTCCGCCACAGGCTCCTGTTGGTGGCACCACCCATCCTCCACTGCAACATCCCAAGATCTGTACTGTCCACAGGCATGTTCTTAGCGGTGGCCCTGGGGGTGTCCTCTGGAAGCAGCCAGGGTGGGGGGAGTGAGAGGGACACCTGAGTCTGGACATCTCCCAACCTCCTGCCCAGACTCCCTCCTACAGTTCCCTTCGCTGCCGGTGGCCGTGTGTCCTTCACTTCTCCCCACCTGGCTGCCCTGCTTGCCCATTTTCCTCTCCCTTCTACTCGCCCTTCAAGGCTTGATTTAAACACCACCTCCTCCAGGAAGCCTTCTTGGACACCCCTTTCACTGGTCTCTCAGAATATTCTATTGGTTTTGGAGCCCTGTTCTGGGGGAAAAAGATTCTAAGAGAACACTCTGACCAATTGCACCCCAACAAATCAGGCAACCTAGATGAAATGGACAGATTCCTAGAAATGCACAAACTACCAAAACTGACTCAAGAGGAAATAGAAAATCTGAGTAGACCCATACCAAGTAAGGAGAACAAATCAGTCATCAAAAATCTCCCAGCCAAGAGGCCGAGCGAGTGCGGTGCTGGGAGTGCAGCAGCGCTCCCGACGCGGGTTCGGATCCTATATAGGGATGACCGGTGCACTCACAGCGCTCACTGGCTGAACGCGTTGCGGCCAGTCTCAAAAAGGACAACAACAAAAAAATCTCCCAGCCAAAAAAGCCCAGGACCAGATGGCTTCACTGGTGAATTCTACCAAACATTTAAAGAATGAATACCAGGGCTGGCCCATGGCTCACTTGGGAGAGTGTGGTGCTGATAACACCAAGGCCACGGGTTCGGATCCCATATAGAGATGGACGGTTTGCTCACTGGATGAGCACGGTGCTGACAACACCAAGTCAAGGGTTAAGATCCCCTTACCGGTCATCTTTAAAAAAAATAAATAAATAAAGAATGAATACCAGTCCTTCTCAAACGCTTCCAAAATATTGAAAAGGAGGGAACACTTCTAAACTTACTCAGTGAGGTCAGCGTTACCCTGAGACCAAAGCCAAAGACATCAAAAGGAAGAAAACCACAGACCAATATTCCTTATGAGTACAGATGCAAAGTCCGTCCCACTACCCATGGGGTAAAGACTGAATCCCGCACTGATCTGGAAGACCTGACCCTTGCATTCTGGATTGCACCCCTAGTCACAGGCTGCCCTGCACCTCCTGAGCCCTATCAGCCCCGTCCTGGCCATATTGTACTCTTTTTTTTTTTTTTTTTAAAAGATGACCGGTAAGGGGATCTTAACCCTTGACTTGGTGTTGTCAGCACCACGCTCAGCCAGTGAGCAAACCGGCCATCCCTATATAGGATCCGAACCCGTGGCCTTGGTGTTATCAGCACCGCACTCTCCCGAGTGAGCCACGGGCCGGCCTCATATTGTACTCTTAACAGTCAGTTTCCATGTCTGTATTCCTCCAACAGACATGAGCAACCAGAGACCAAGGGCCGTGGGTGTGCAGCTCTGTGTCCCCTCTCTGTCATTGCTGGGATGAACCATAACTGAGTATAACAATGGTGTTCCACTACTGGAAACCAATATCTGTGCTAGCATCCCAGTGTCTCCCTGGGCATCTCCCTCTGTCCTGGACCACAGGCGGAAACACTTATCCTGTGCTTTGCTAATCGACTGTATCAGGTTGGGTTTGCTGCGAGAAATGGAGGAACTGGGAGTAATAACTCATGCCCAAATATTAATATTTCTTAAGCCATGGAACAGAGGAAATTGCTTGGGGGGTACAAGTCAGGTGACCTGGGAACAGCCTGTTCTGATGAATGATTTGCTGTGTGATGTTACTCACTGTATCTCCCTCTCTGGGCTTCTCAGCGTTCTTAATCTCTCTTAAAAGAGCCACCTCTTTCCCAGCTGTTCTTCCTGCCTCAGGACATTGCGTGACCCTATGCCCAACTGCTCAGGCCAAAACCCAGGTGGACCTTTGACTTTCTGCCCCATATCCCCCCAGCAAGTACTGCAGACTCTGCTTCCTAGAGAGGTCTCAAGTCCGCCCACTCCTCTGCACCCCACGGCCACCGCCATCTCGTATGACAACCTCCTGCTGGCCTCCTCTCTGGCCTCCCTGTCCCTGCAACTGTCCACTGTTCCCTGGCCATGACAGTGAGCACTTCCAAACACATATCAGAGATCGGACCTGTTCGATCCTGCTGCAGTTTTCTGCCACACTTGGAATCAGAGCCAAACTCCTTGCCATGGGTTTCTAGCCCCTGCAAGGCCCTTGTTCTGGCCTCGGGAATTTCAGCTTAAATAACACGTACCCAGAGAGGCCTGGCCTGACCACCCTTTAAAGGGACCCCCCCCCCCCCCCC